TTTTTTTTTCTCGCTGTACCTCTATCTCTCTACGTTGAGTAGTGTGTGCAAGCGTATGTAAATGACTTGACCTAGTGATGTGCCCATTTTCGAAGAGCACATAAATGTACAAGCGGATACTAGTCGCGCAGTGGAACAGTGTGGCAAAGTGGCAGTGTTGTAGCGCACCCTTGGATCGTTGTAGTCGGCTCCCCTGTGTCCAGGCTATCCTCTCCCATCCTCGCTACCCGCCGTTGAATCCCCCAACCTGGAAAAATGAAAAACAAAAATAAACTCAAGAGATGCTTAGACGTAATGGGGCACCAAAAAATATAGGCAGCTGTGCAGAGAAACAAACAAAAAAAAAAAAAAAAAAAAAAATTTTTTTTTAAAATAGGATCTAGTGCAACTCAGTAGAGTAGAGCGCAAGGGGGCACATATGCATGCACCGTTCTGGCCACTGCGTCATTCCTTTCTTATATAAAAAGTACCTTAGGAACAACAGAGACAGAATTGCCAAGGAGCACGCCAACCTCCTTCCGTGCAGCAAAGAAAATGTTCTCCTCACTTATCTGAAGGAGCTCCGACTGGAGGTGTAGTCTTCGCCACGACCATTATGAGTGTTTCCAGTGTCACTCTGTTCATGTGTATACATGTGTGCGTGCGTATGTATGTACCTGCGTGTGCATCCGATTAAGTGATTACACGTGATTGGTTGCACTGCCTCCGCTCAGCTCGCAGGGAGATACAACGCACACTTTTGCGAATTCTTCATGGATGAGTATGGAGAGCGTAGGAATATATGCTCCTCCATAATTCAAGTTTTTTTTCCCTTTGAGTAAGGCGCGTCGCGGGGTGGACTATCGGCGTGCAGTGTAGTTGATAACGGTGCAGTCTAGCCTACCGGCAACCTCCCGTACCCCCCTCTCTCGCAGCAAAGGAAACAACTACAAAGAAATATATACCCTGATCAAGAACTACTTCACGTTTGAAGTCGTGTTGAAAAAAAAAATAAAAACGCTCCTGCTTCCCAACGTGGCGCTGGTGTTCGACTGGAAGGTTTGTTTTGCCTTCCATGAAGCGAACCCCTCCCCTATCGCAGGGCACGTTGCTCTTCAGGGGAGTCGGCCCGGGTTCCATTTGACATGAGGAAAAAAGCATAAGCGCAACGCGTATACACTTACCAGGCCAACTTGGACCCAACTGCAGATCGCCGACTGCGCAGACTTGTGCACTATAGTGGTGTCCTCCCTGCGAAGTAAGTGAAGGGGTAGCCGTGTTGAGGAGGGGAGGACTCACAGATCGGCATAGAGACGCAGGCAACCCCATCCTTTTATTTATTTTATTTTTTCACTGGCAGCAAAGAACTATGACGCGTACGTTGTGTGTGGCGAGGCCCCCTTCTCCATTTGCGCGAAGGACGACGTAACGAAAAAAAAAAAAAAAAAAAAAAAAAGATAGGATTGATGGGTGGACGGAAAGACCTGTCCCGAACAGGGCCAATGCAGTCTGGGGGGAATCCCCCCAATTCTCCTGACCCGTTCAGGCAACTCCCAACCACAACTCTCCTCCCCCCCCACCACCAGAAAAAGAACCTCTGCGAATTTAATTTTAAAGAGTGGGAAAAGTATGAGGAGAAGAAGGTAACCCGTTTGTTATTACCTCTTCCTTAGTCAACACAAAAAAAAAAAAAAAAAAAAAAAAAAAAAAAAAAAAAAAAAGGGGCG